ATGAGGAGGTGAGAGGAGAGAGGAGGGAGGTGGAGAAGTCGGACGGGGCCGAGACGAGGATGAATTCGTTTCAGAGCGTTCTGGAACGCTCCGAGAGAACGCTCTGAGACGGCCGCGGCGCCCGAGACATCTTGCAGAGCCGCCGTATCTTAGAGATTCCCGATCTGTCCTCACCCGATGTTATCCTCGTTCTGGCTTCGTCGTGAGAAGGCTGGAGGGAGGATGCCAGGAGGAGGATGATTATGATGATGATGATGAGGAGGAGGAGGAGGAAGAGGAGGAGGAGGAGGAGGAGGAGGAAGAGGAGGAGGAGGAGGAGGAGGGCGAGGGGAAGGAGGGGGGCAGGAGGAGGGCCACGCTGCGGCTCGGGATCCGTCTTATAGCCGCTCCCAGGGGCCGCCTGGCCCTCCCCCTCTTCGGGCCTCCCTCAGGGCGCAGGCAGCGGCGAAGACAGGGCCCGCCCGGGGAGGGGGCGAGGGGGAGGGGGGAGGGCCCAGTCACCTCGCACGCCTTTTGTTTCGCCCCCCGGCTAGAAGGGGCATCGGAGGGCGCCTTCCGCGCCCTCTCCCCGCTGCTCCCTCTCGCCCTCGCCCCCTGGCCCTTCTTGCCGCTCCGCGTCGCCTCTCGCCCTTCGCCCTTGGGGATCTGCCCCCCCCTGTCTTCCCCGCCTTCCCATCCGCTCTCCCGTCCCCCACCCACTCTGCCTTCCAGTGAGCTGCTCCCTGGCGAGCCTCGCCCTTCTTTTTCCTCTAACGACGCCTGCTTTTGACTGTGTCTTCGGTAATTCGCTCGGCCGTGTTTTCCCTTCTCCTGTCTTAAGTTATAAGCAATCGCTCTTTTCAATCGTCACAGTTTTCACGATGTCTGTTTCGGCGCTCTCTGACTTTTTGGTGGTGGCTCCGCCGCTCCCTTCGTCTTTTGAGTCACCTCAGAGTTAAAATGCATGTTTTACGTGACCGTTGCCCACGCACACGCACGCGCGCATTTTACCAGCATTGCCATTTTTCTTGCAGTATGCGCGGCCGGCCAAACTCGGTTAGAGGGGCTTGGGGCAAATCGGAGACACGTTTGTTTGTTTATTCGTTCGTTCGTTCGTTTGTTGTTGTCAGTAGGATATGGCAGTTCGTCGAGACCCCCCCGGATCCCACCATTGTTTTTCTTCGGGAGCCCCACGTTGGGGTTTTGTTCGTTTTTTGTTTAAGGGTTTTTCTCTATGCTTTCCCCGGTTTTTCTCGGGGACTTTCGGGGGGCCACAATCCAAGACCATATTATCTCTGACCACCCAAAAACTGATTGAAGCAACTTAGACAAAATAATCCAACTCGGGGGATTGTCTGGTTTTTTTGTTGGATTATCCGGCCACCCCTGGCTCAAGGGGGACCCCCCGACAAAAAATCCACACTCGGGTCTTTTGGGTCCTGATTTGGGCCTCTCGAGGCCTCTTGAGCGCACCTCGGAGGCTTGTGTGGTGATCGTGGGGCCATCTTGGGGCGAAGGGCTCAAAATGTCAGTTTGTGTTCGCAATCTTGGGCCCCATCTTGGGCCCCCCTTGGGGCGGTCCGGGGGGCCTCTTGGGCTCCTCTTGGGGGCTCCTGTGCCGTTTTTGGGGGATCTTGGGCGCCTCTTGGTCTGTCCTGAACGCCCTGACGGTAATGCGACAACCATACAAGAAACCAATTGCATTTGATGACTTTGGCCTTGGGCCGCCTTCCGGGGTCTCCAAGACGGCCCCGGAGGCGCCCAAGAGGGCTCCAGGACTGTTCCCGGGGCCATCGGAAACCATGTTGGACGTGCACTCAGGGGCGACGATTGGGGGGGGGTAGGCATAGGGGGAGATGCATCGACCCCCAATCGCCCATTGATCGTCGATAGAGGCCCGATAGCCCCAACCTGCCCAAGAAGGTGCGGACTCACTATCAGAGGCCAATCGCCGATCTGTCGGCGATGTATCGCCGATTCCAAGTCGATGCATCCCCCCCTATGCCAGTCCCCCACTATCGTGGTCCCTGATGCATGGGCTGAACAGCGCGCTCAAGGATTATTTGCAGAGTTCAATACAGAAAAATTCCAGGGACCCTGAGGACTTTCTAACTCGTGCCTCAGGGCACGGTGACGGATAACCTATAACGCAGTAGAGAACGCTTGTACGCGAGTTCGTTGCTTTTAGGACTCATTTACGGCCCCCATGTGGTTAAGTTGGAACTGTCCTCTTCGAGCTTCGCGTATTCCATCTTACTGAGCCCGATCTCTTCGTCCATCCATAGCCGTTTGGCTGAGTTTTTTCAAGTGTCGGGCGTTCAGCTCTGCTCTCCCAACCTTGACCGTTTTTTCCACAATTTTCAGAGAAGGCGATGGCGCGCTCCGGCGTCGTTGCGCTCATCGCTGCCTTCGTCATTGGACTAGTGGCGTGTCAGCTGTGCCACGCCTTCGTGGCGGCTCCGCTCAGCCAACGTGCGCCCCGCGGTCATCTCGAGACAATCTTGGATCCTGCGGTGACTCCTGGTGCGGAGCCCGTCTCCCAGCCGTCGACTGCGCATCTTGGCATCGGCCTGACGCTCCTCGGGGCGTCCGCTGTCCTTGCCCTGTCTGCGCGCGGTGCGACGTCCATCGCTGGCAGGAAGGCGACCCCGCGGGGGCCCGCGCTGCACAAGGTAGCGATGGCAGCGTTCGAGAGCGAGCTGGGCGTGCAGGACCCGGTGGGCTTCTGGGACCCTGCTGGGTTCACGGCGGACGGTAGCACGGAGAACTTCGCCAGAAGGCGGCAGACAGAGCTGAAGCATGGCCGCGTGAGCATGCTGGCGACCATGGGCTACATCACGCCCGAAATAACGGGCAAGCTGCCTGGCTATTTGTCGCCTTCGGCTGGCCTGAAGTTCGCGGACATCCCGAATGGGCTCGGTGCGATCTCCAAGGTTCCCGCGGCGGGTTGGGCGCAGATCGTGGCGTACGGCGCGTTCTGCGAGCTGTCCCAGGACCAGTCCGCTGGCACAGCTGCCGCGGCTGGCGACTTTGGCTTCAAGGTGCTGACGTCCAGCGACGCCGCGGAGAAGCAGAACAAATTGGCGGCGGAGATCGCCAACGGTCGCCTTGCCATGATGGCCATCATCGGCATGTTCTTCCAGGACGGTCTCACTGGGTCTGCCTGGGGTGACTGGGCGCTCTACACGGCGTCCCCGCTGCGCGCGTTCGAGAACGAGCTGGGCGTGCAGGCGCCAGTGGGCTTCTGGGACCCAGTCGGTTTCACTAAGGACGGCGATGCCGTGGCGTTCAAGCGTAGGCGGGAGACCGAAATCAAGCACGGCCGGATCTCCATGTTGGCGACCATGGGCTACATCACGCCGGAGCTGGTTGGCAAGTTTCCTGGCGAAATCTCCCCCAGCCTCGGATTGAAGTTTGAGGACATCCCGAACGGCCTTGCTGCTTTGTCCAAGGTGCCAGGCCCTGGTTGGTTGCAGATTGTAGCGTACTGCCTCTACTGCGAGTCTGGACCTTTCGGGTACAACTCTGACCCCAACAGGAAGCCTGGGGAGCTTGGCTGGAGGCCGATCGGTCTGTACAGCACTGACGCTGAGGTGAGGCAGCGCAGGCTGGCTGCTGAGATCGCCAACGGTCGCCTTGCCATGATGGCCATCATCGGCATGTTCTTCCAGGACGGTCTCACTGGGTCTGCCTGGGGTGACTGGGCGCTCTACACGGCATCTCCGCTGCGCGCGTTCGAGAGCGAGCTGGGCGTGCAGGCGCCAGTGGGCTTCTGGGACCCGGTCGGTTTCACTAAGGACGGCGATGCCGCGGCGTTCAAGCGTAGGCGGGAGACCGAAATCAAGCACGGCCGGATCTCCATGTTGGCGACCATGGGCTACATCACGCCGGAGCTGGTTGGCAAGTTTCCTGGCGAGATCTCCCCCAGCCTCGGAGTGAAGTTTGAGGACATCCCGAACGGCCTCGCTGCTTTGTCCAAGGTGCCAGGCCCTGGTTGGTTGCAGATTGTAGCGTACTGCCTCTACTGCGAGTCTGGACCTTTCGGGTACAACTCTGACCCCAACAGGAAGCCTGGGGAGCTTGGCTGGAGGCCGATCGGTCTGTACAGCACTGACGCTGAGGTGAGGCAGCGCAGGCTGGCTGCTGAGATCGCCAACGGTCGCCTTGCCATGATGGCCATCATCGGCATGTTCTTCCAGGACGGTCTCACTGGGTCTGCCTGGGGTGACTGGGCGCTCTACACGGCATCTCCGCTGCGCGCGTTCGAGAGCGAGCTGGGCGTGCAGGCGCCAGTGGGCTTCTGGGACCCGGTCGGTTTCACTAAGGACGGCGATGCCGCGGCGTTCAAGCGTAGGCGGGAGACCGAAATCAAGCACGGCCGGATCTCCATGTTGGCGACCATGGGCTACATCACGCCGGAGCTGGTTGGCAAGTTTCCTGGCGAGATCTCCCCCAGCCTCGGAGTGAAGTTTGAGGACATCCCGAACGGCCTCGCTGCTTTGTCCAGTGCCAGGCCCTGGTTGGTTGCAGATTGATCGTACTGGCCTCACAGCGAGTCCTGGACTTTCGGTACAACTCTGACCCCAACAGGAAGCCTGGGGAGCTTGGCTGGAGGCCGATCGGTCTGTACAGCACTGACGCTGAGGTGAGGCAGCGCAGGCTGGCTGCTGAGATCGCCAACGGTCGCCTTGCCATGATGGCCATCATCGGCATGTTCTTCCAGGACGGTCTCACTGGGTCTGCCTGGGGTGACTGGGCGCTCTACACGGCATCTCCGCTGCGCGCGTTCGAGAGCGAGCTGGGCGTGCAGGCGCCAGTGGGCTTCTGGGACCCGGTCGGTTTCACTAAGGACGGCGATGCCGCGGCGTTCAAGCGTAGGCGGGAGACCGAAATCAAGCACGGCCGGATCTCCATGTTGGCGACCATGGGCTACATCACGCCGGAGCTGGTTGGCAAGTTTCCTGGCGAGATCTCCCCCAGCCTCGGAGTGAAGTTTGAGGACATCCCGAACGGCCTCGCTGCTTTGTCCAAGGTGCCAGGCCCTGGTTGGTTGCAGATTGTAGCGTACTGCCTCTACTGCGAGTCTGGACCTTTCGGGTACAACTCTGACCCCAACAGGAAGCCTGGGGAGCTTGGCTGGAGGCCGATCGGTCTGTACAGCACTGACGCTGAGGTGAGGCAGCGCAGGCTGGCTGCTGAGATCGCCAACGGTCGCCTCGCCATGATGGCCATCATCGGCATGTTCTTCCAGGACGGTCTCACTGGGTCTGCCTGGGGTGACTGGGCGCTCTACACGGCATCTCCGCTGCGCGCGTTCGAGAGCGAGCTGGGCGTGCAGGCGCCAGTGGGCTTCTGGGACCCCGCGGGCCTCAGCAAGGACGGCGACGCGGCTGCGTTCAAGCGACGCCGCTCCACCGAGATCAAGCATGGTCGGGTCTCGATGCTGGCGACCATGGGGTACATCACCCCCGAGGTGGCTGGCAAGTTCCCAGGGTACCTCAGCCCGTCCAAGGGCCTCGCGTACGCGGACATCCCCAACGGGCTGGCCGCCATCTCCAAGGTGCCTTTCCTAGGGTGGCTCCAGATCGTCATCTACTGCTTGTACGTCGAGGCTTCTGGCCTCGGCTTCAACTACATCGGCACTGAGCAGACGCCCGGCGACGTGGGCTGGAAGCCGCCCCTGCTCTCTGGCTTTGCTGGTGAGGCGAAGACGAAGAAGCTCAACGCGGAGATCGCGAACGGCAGACTGGCGATGGTGGCGATCATCGGCATGTTCTTCCAGGACGGCCTGACCGGAAGCGCGTGGGGCGACTGGGCCAACTACACGGACTCGCCGCTGCGAGCGTTCGAGAGCGAGCTGGGCGTGCAGGCGCCAGTGGGCTTCTGGGACCCCGCGGGCCTCAGCAAGGACGGCGACGCGGCTGCGTTCAAGCGACGCCGCTCCACCGAGATCAAGCATGGTCGGGTCTCGATGCTGGCGACCATGGGGTACATCACCCCCGAGGTGGCTGGCAAGTTCCCAGGGTACCTCAGCCCGTCCAAGGGCCTCGCGTACGCGGACATCCCCAACGGGCTGGCCGCCATCTCCAAGGTGCCTTTCCTAGGGTGGCTCCAGATTGTCATCTACTGCTTGTACGTCGAGGCTTCTGGCCTCGGCTTCAACTACATCGGCACTGAGCAGACGCCCGGCGACGTGGGCTGGAAGCCGCCCCTGCTCTCTGGCTTTGCTGGTGAGGCGAAGACGAAGAAGCTCAACGCGGAGATCGCGAACGGCAGACTGGCGATGGTGGCGATCATCGGCATGTTCTTCCAGGACGGCCTGACCGGAAGCGCGTGGGGCGACTGGGCCAACTACACGGACTCGCCGCTGCGAGCGTTTGAGAGCGAGCTGGGCGTGCAGGCGCCAGTGGGCTTCTGGGACCCCGCGGGCCTCAGCAAGGACGGCGACGCGGCTGCGTTCAAGCGACGCCGCTCCACCGAGATCAAGCATGGTCGGGTCTCGATGCTGGCGACCATGGGGTACATCACCCCCGAGGTGGCTGGCAGTTCCCAGGGTACCTCAGCCCGTCCAAGGGCCTCGCGTACGCGGACATACCCAACGGGCTGGCCGCCATCTCCAAGGTGCCTTTCCTAGGGTGGCTCCAGATCGTCATCTACTGCTTGTACTCGAGGCTCTGGCCTCGGCGTCAACTACATCGGCACTGACAGACGCACCCGGCGACGTGGGCTGAACCGCCCCTGCTCTCTGGCTTTGCCTGGTGAGAGGCGAAGACCGAATAGAAGCTCACGCGGAGGATCCGCGACGTGCAGACTGTCGATGGTGGCGCGGGGGTCTTGTTTCTTCCAGACGGCCTACCGGAAGCGCGTTGGGGCGACTTGGGCCAACTACACGGACTCGCCTCTGCGCGCGTTCGAGAGCGAGCTGGGCGAGCAGGCGCCAGTGGGCTTCTGGGACCCCGCGGGCCTCAGCAAGGACGGCGACGCGGCTGCGTTCAAGCGACGCCGCTCCACCGAGATCAAGCATGGTCGGGTCTCGATGCTGGCGACCATGGGGTACATCACCCCCCCCGTGTGGCAGAGAGGAGCAAGTTCCCAGGGTTACCCTTGCAGCCCCCGTCCCACGGGCCCTCCGTACGCCGGACATCCCCAACGAGGCTGGCCGCCATCTCGCCAAGGTGCCTTTCTAGGGGTGGCTCCAGATCGTCATCTACTGCTTGTACGTCGAGGCTTCTGGCCTCGGCTTCAACTACATCGGCACTGAGCAGACGCCCGGCGACGTGGGCTGGAAGCCGCCTCTGCTCTCTGGCTTTGCTGGTGAGGCGAAGACGAAGAAGCTCAACGCGGAGATCGCGAACGGCAGACTGGCGATGGTGGCGATCATCGGCATGTTCTTCCAGGACGGTCTGACCGGAAGCGCGTGGGGCGACTGGGCCAACTACACGGACTCGCCGCTGCGCGCGTTCGAGAGCGAGCTGGGCGTGCAGGCGCCAGTGGGCTTCTGGGACCCCGCGGGCCTCAGCAAGGACGGCGACGCGGCTGCGTTCAAGCGACGCCGCTCCACCGAGATCAAGCATGGTCGGGTCTCGATGCTGGCGACCATGGGGTACATCACCCCCGAGGTGGCTGGCAAGTTCCCAGGGTACCTCAGCCCGTCCAAGGGCCTCGCGTACGCGGACATCCCCAACGGGCTGGCCGCCATCTCCAAGGTGCCTTTCCTAGGGTGGCTCCAGATCGTCATCTACTGCTTGTACGTCGAGGCTTCTGGCCTCGGCTTCAACTACATCGGCACTGAGCAGACGCCCGGCGACGTGGGCTGGAAGCCGCCTCTGCTCTCTGGCTTTGCTGGTGAGGCGAAGACGAAGAAGCTCAACGCGGAGATCGCGAACGGCAGACTGGCGATGGTGGCGATCATCGGCATGTTCTTCCAGGACGGTCTGACCGGAAGCGCGTGGGGCGACTGGGCCAACTACACGGACTCGCCGCTGCGCGCGTTTCGAGAGCGAGCTGGGCGTGCAGGCGCCAGTGGGCGGGCTGGCCGCCATCTCCAAGGTGCCTTTCCTAGGGTGGCTCCAGATCGTCATCTACTGCTTGTACGTCGAGGCTTCTGGCCTCGGCTTCAACTACATCGGCACTGAGCAGACGCCCGGCGACGTGGGCTGGAAGCCGCCTCTGCTCTCTGGCTTTGCTGGTGAGGCGAAGACGAAGAAGCTCAACGCGGAGATCGCGAACGGCAGACTGGCGATGGTGGCGATCATCGGCATGTTCTTCCAGGACGGTCTGACTGGCTCCGCCTGGGGCGACTGGGCGCTCTACACGGGATCCCCGCTGCGCGCGTTCGAGAGCGAGCTGGGCGTGCAGGCGCCGCTGGGCTTCTGGGACCCCTTGGGACTCTCGGCTGATGGCGACGTGGCGTCCTTCAAGCGCCGCCGTCCACGAGATCAAGCATGGCGGGTCTCATGCTGGCGACCATGGGTACATCACCCCGAGGTGGCTGGCAAGTTCCCAGGGTAACCTCAGCCCGTCCAAGGGCCTCGCTTTACGCGGACATTCCCAACGGGCTGGCCGCCATCTCCAAGGTTTCCTTCGTGGGCCTTTCCTAGGGTGGCTCCAGATCGTCATCTACTGCTTGTACGTCGAGGCTTCTGGCCTCGGCTTCAACTACATCGGCACTGAGCAGACGCCCGGCGACGTGGGCTGGAAGCCGCCCCTGCTCTCTGGCTTTGCTGGTGAGGCGAAGACGAAGAAGCTCAACGCGGAGATCGCGAACGGCAGACTGGCGATGGTGGCGATCATCGGCATGTTCTTCCAGGACGGTCTGACGGAAGCGCGTGGGGCGACTGGGCCAACTACACGGACTCGCCGCTGCGCGCGTTCGAGAGCGAGCTGGGCGTGCAGGCGCCAGTGGGCTTCTGGGACCCCGCGGGCCTCAGCAAGGACGGCGACGCGGCGGCGTTCAAGCGACGCCGCTCCACCGAGATCAAGCATGGTCGGGTCTCGATGCTGGCGACCATGGGTACATCACCCCCGAGGTGGCTGGCAAGTTCCCAGGGTACCTGAGCCCGTCCAAGGGCCTCGCGTACGCGGACATTCCCAACGGCCTGGCCGCCATCTCCAAGGTGCCTTTCCTGGGGTGGCTCCAGATCGTCATCTACTGCTTGTACGTCGAGGCTTCTGGCCTCGGCTTCAACTACATCGGCACTGAGAAAACGCCCGGCGACGTGGGCTGGAAGCCGCCCCTGCTCTCTGGCTTTGAGGGCGAGGCGAAGACGAAGAAGCTCAATGCGGAGATCGCTAACGGTCGCCTTGCCATGATGGCCATCATCGGCATGTTCTTCCAGGACGGTCTGACGGGCTCCGCCTGGGGCGACTGGGCGCTCTACACGGGATCCCCGCTGCGCGCGTTCGAGAGCGAGCTGGGCGTGCAGGCGCCAGTGGGCTTCTGGGACCCCGCGGGCCTCAGCAAGGACGGCGACGCGGCTGCGTTCAAGCGACGCCGCTCCACCGAGATCAAGCATGGTCGGGTCTCGATGCTGGCGACCATGGGTACATCACCCCCGAGGTGGCTGGCAAGTTCCCAGGGTACCTCAGCCCGTCCAAGGGCCTCGCGTACGCGGACATCCCCAACGGGCTGGCCGCCATCTCCAAGGTGCCTTTCCTAGGGTGGCTCCAGATCGTCATCTACTGCTTGTACGTCGAGGCTTCTGGCCTCGGCTTCAACTACATCGGCACTGAGCAGACGCCCGGCGACGTGGGCTGGAAGCCGCCCCTGCTCTCTGGCTTTGCTGGTGAGGCGAAGACGAAGAAGCTCAACGCGGAGATCGCGAACGGCAGACTGGCGATGGTGGCGATCATCGGCATGTTCTTCCAGGACGGCCTGACCGGAAGCGCGTGGGGCGACTGGGCCAACTACACGGACTCGCCGCTGCGCGCGTTCGAGAGCGAGCTGGGCGTGCAGGCGCCAGTGGGCTTCTGGGACCCCGCGGGCCTCAGCAAGGACGGCGACGCGGCTGCGTTCAAGCGACGCCGCTCCACCGAGATCAAGCATGGTCGGGTCTCGATGCTGGCGACCATGGGGTACATCACCCCCGAGGTGGCTGGCAAGTTCCCAGGGTACCTCAGCCCGTCCAAGGGCCTCGCGTACGCGGACATCCCCAACGGGCTGGCCGCCATCTCCAAGGTGCCTTTCCTAGGGTGGCTCCAGATCGTCATCTACTGCTTGTACGTCGAGGCTTCTGGCCTCGGCTTCAACTACATCGGCACTGAGCAGACGCCCGGCGACGTGGGCTGGAAGCCGCCCCTGCTCTCTGGCTTTGCTGGTGAGGCGAAGACGAAGAAGCTCAACGCGGAGATCGCGAACGGCAGACTGGCGATGGTGGCGATCATCGGCATGTTCTTCCAGGACGGCCTGACCGGAAGCGCGTGGGGCGACTGGGCCAACTACACGGACTCGCCGCTGCGCGCGTTCGAGAGCGAGCTGGGCGTGCAGGCCCCTTTCGGTTATTGGGACCCGGCCGGCTTGAGCAAGGACGGCGACACGGAGGCCTTCAAGAGACGCCGCGTTACCGAGATCAAGCATGGGCGTGTGTCCATGTGGGCGTGCATGGGCTACATCACTCCTGAGTATTTCAAGTGGCCCGGCTATTGCTCTCCGTCCAAGGGCCTCAAGTTCGCAGATATCCCGAATGGCCTTGCGGCACTGTCCAAGGTTCCAGGCGCGGGATGGGTCCAGATCTTTTTGTTCTGTGGCTTGATAGAGAAAGGCTTGTTCGTGTACGACCCATCGAGGGCCCCGGGCGATTATGAGAACGGTGGCGTATTGGGCGTGCCCAACGGCAGTACGTTGCCTGCTGGGGAGCTCAAATCCCGCAAGCTGAATGCCGAGATTGCGAATGGAAGGCTGGCGATGATGGCGATCATCGGTATGTTCTATCAGGACGGCTTGACGGGATCTGCGTGGGGTGACTGGGAGTTGTACACTGACTCGCCCCTGCGATGAACGGCGAACGGCCGTGGATTCGGCTCGCCTCCGCCTTCAGCCTCTGGCGCGGCTGGTTCGGTTTTATCAAAGAATTGCTATCCCTGGCCTTTTTCTGCGCTCTCGGAACTAGATTTCCGCGCTCTGCATCGGGATCCCGCAAAGGGTGTATGTGTGTGTGTGTGCCCTGGTGTGTGTGTGTGTGTGTGTGTGTGTGTGAGAGAGAGTTCGATCAATTTTTGCATCAGACCGCCCAAAACAGATGCCCCCCAGCCGCCAGCAGCTCCCGATAGCTGCCGATAGGTGGGGCATGCGGGGGGCGTCTGTTTGCGGCAGTTCGGTGCACTAGCGGATCGAACTCATGCCCTCCATCAGGTCACCCCCCCTTTGGTGAATCCCCGAATACAGCAGGTTGGGTGTGCCGCAGTTTTTTCGGTGCTGATTCGAGCGAGGGCTGGGACGAGTGCTGATTCTGCAAGTGTCATGCTCGCTGTCAATGAGAGTCCTCCATCTTCTTGCTGCCGTTACCGCCTCTCCTTCTCGCCCTCTCCCTCGCCTTCCTCCTGCTACCCCCGACTGCTGCTGCTTCTCCTCGTTCCTCTTCCCCCCCCTTGCTCCCTCCTCGATCTCCTCCTCCTCCTCCTCCTCCTCCTCCTCATATCCTCCCCCGTCTGCTTCTGCTCCTGCTGCTCCTCCTCCTTGCCTTCTCCTCTTCGTCCTCCCCCTTCTCCCTCTCTACTCAGCTGAGCGGCATGCTCCTCCACTCACCCCTGCTCCTGCTGCCGCGGTCATGCCTACACTGGCCGCGGCCACATGCCAGCCTCGAGGCGTGCTTCCAGTCAAAACGCCTCAGGACTGGCCGTCGGCCCCACCCGCCGCCATGCCCAGGTCGTGGACCAGAGGCCTCCAGGAGGCCTCTGAAGGCGCTGGGGCCTCCTCTTGGCATCGCTCGGCGTCGGACGTGCGCATTTTTCCTCGGCGAGGACCCTCGAGGAGCCTCCTCGACCATCTGGCAAAGCAGCCACGCAATGAAACCGAAAAGAGCACGGGGAACGGATGTCCGAGCGATGGCGAGTTCTGGGGAGCCTCTGGAGGCCTTCCGGCCTATGGACGTCTCCTGCGGGCGTCTCGTACGACAGGTTCGCGCCGTGTCGACGGCGACCCCAGCGCGGGCGTTTCAGGTTGGACGCCGCCTGTGGCCCAGAATCGGCCCATCCTCGAACGATCCGGCCTTTTTGAAAGGGCCGATCGTTCAAGTTTGAACGATCCCCGCGGTGTCAGGAACCAACGCCGGGGTCGACACGACGCACACCTGCCGTAGGCTTAAGTCGGGCACGTCCCTTTACAGGAGGAATATTCAAAAATAGTGTAAAAGCACAGTAAGGGGTCAATTTTTCTGTTATTTTTTGACCATTTTTGATTATTTTTGGGGTATTTGTAATTTGTCCTTCAAAATCTGCCTGTAGGGGGACATGCCCGACCTAAACCAACGCCGAGGTCGACACGACGCAACCCTGCCGTAGGCTTGCCAGTTGGTGGTCTCGGGAGCCATGCTGTGCAGAGGAGCACGCCTCGAGTTCCATCGTGGGAGGGCCGCTCCTGGGGCCCTCCCAAGTCCCTCTCGGGCCTCTCTTTTGGAGCCTCTGGTGCCGTCTAGGAGCGATGCTGGGAGCCTCTTGGATCGTCATGGACCTGATTAGATATACCGAATGTTCGAACATGCCAAAATGATGTGAACACATTTCGATTCAACCGATATTTGGCGCCACGGCAAGAGCCCTCTTGGAGCCATCTTGGGTCATCTTGGGTGCTCTGACCGCTCACCGCCCCCCTCGTCCAGACCCAGGAGGAGATGGTAGGGGTAGGCTTGAACCCCTACCCGGTGGGATTCCATGAGTTGTGGGTCAGGGATTCTTGCGAGTATCAATTCACGGTGCTCATTATTTTGCTGGGGACGCTACATTCAGTGCCTCGCGGCACAGTGGCGGATAGTACGGGTGCCGAGCGGTAGCATAATTTCAATTCGATACTTGTTTCTTTGGCCCAGCCCTCCTCCTTGGTCATGTATCGCAGAGCTGTTTGCCTGATGCTGGTGCTAATGGTATTACACCCTTACGTTGCATCCTTACTACGGTCCTACGTTTGACGGTGCACTTGTGTGTGCTTCAGCAGGTGAGATGTGCTTTCCATTCTTCTCGGTAGCCAGGCCACGATCTCCACGCCCTGCTCTCCTTCTTTACTCCTCTTTTTCCCAGTCTCTTTCTCCAGTTCTTTCCTCCTCTCCTTTCCTCATTCTCTTATTCTCGGACCTCCCTCTTCCCCTCTGTGGCCCCTCCCTCTCCGTCCACAGGACTCGACCCCTCCCAAAGGGGTAGGTTTTTTTTTGCCGACTTCCTGACTGCCCCTGGGCCCCGAGCTCGGCCCCCGGAGGCCGAAGAAGTGCACGAGGAGCGCCAGGATCGGCAAGCCTCTCCGCCCGAAGCCCTCCTCCCCCTCCCCCCCGCTCTCGCCCCCCCCTCGGCGGTGCGAGCGCAAGGTCCTCCGCCCGAGGTCCCCCTCCCCCGAGGTCCTCCTCCCCCGAGGTCCTCCTCCCCCTCGCCCGAGGTCCTCCTCCTCCCCGAGGTCCTCCTCCTCCCCCTCGCCCGAGGTCCTCCTCCCCCGAGGTCCTCCTCCTCCCCCGAGGTCCCCCGAGGTCCTCCCCCCCTCCCCCCCCCTCCCCCTCCCCCCCGCTCTCGCCCCCCTTCGGCGCGAGCGCAGGGGGCCGACCCGGCGCGAAGCAAGCCGCCGGAGGCCACGCACGGAGGGCGACTGTGCGCCCGCCCGCCCCCCCGCGCGCGCGCCTCGCCGTGGGGAGGCGGCCCTGCCCGTCGGCCGACGGAGCGGCCGGGGGAGGGAAGGGCCTCCTCGCCCGCGCGCGCGGCGAGAGGCGAGTGCCAGGTTTCCCCAGGGGGGAGCGGGGTCCTCCTCCAAGCGGGCTGGCGGCCGCCAGGGCCTCTTCGGCGGCGTCCCAGCCCTCCCTCCCTCCTCCTCCTCCTCCTCGCGTGGGGGGTGGGGGGCCCAGGACCCCTCGCGTCGCGAAAGGATGCTCCTTCGTGTGGTTTTCGGCCTCCGGGGGCCCCTGCTGGGCCTCGGGGCCGTCACAGATCGACTCGGGATGGAGTTGCAGTCCCGGGGAGGGTGTCCAGACCTCGGGGGTCGGCGCTGTGGCAAGAGCCACGACGCCGGGGGGTCTGGGGAGGCGGGCGGCCTCCCCTAGGGAAGAGGGCACACGCGGCAGCGCTGCAGGCGGCCTCCAGGTGCTGCGGGGGCCAGGACCCCTTGGGCGGAGCTGTGCCGTGAAAGAGGGGGCCTCGGGTCGTGGGAGGCGATCACAGTGGAGAGGAGGCATATATTGTTAAATAGTTTACCGACGTCTAACACGTGTTTGAAGTCTGCTTTTAACGTGTCAAGTCATGCGCCAACCATGTGTCGAAGATGTTGAAACCGTGCAGAAACGGGCTGTGGGAGACGATCACAGTGGAGAGGAGGCATACATATATATATATATATATATATATATAGACAAATAGTGTACAGACGTGCAAAGAACGTGTTTGAACTCTGTTTCTAGCGTGCCGAGTCATGTGCCAACCATGTGTCGAAGATGTTGAACACGTGCAGAAACGGGCTGTGGGAGACGATCACAGTGGAGAGGAGGCATATATCTTGCCACATAGTTTACATACGCCTAAAGAACGTGGTTGAACTCTGTCTCTAGCGTGCCAAGTCATGTGCCAGCCATGTGTCGAAGATGTTGAAAACGTGCAGAAGACGTGTAGCATTCATGTCTACAGTCGGGGCCCTGAAGAAGGAACCCTTTTCGTTGGGGAGGGGCTCCGCGTTCCTTAAGTGTTTCGCAGCTTGCCTCAGGTTTTCCTTCTGTTTTCGATGGGGAATCGAAGTTTAACTTATGGAAAAAAGGGGCCCCGTTCCTTATTTTGGGTTCCTTAGGTCAAGGCCCCGACTGTAGTCCAATGATAGAACGGTCGGAGTGTCCATTCTCGGGGTGCGCCCTCTGCCCCCGGAGGCGCCCGCGGGCACGCCTCGGCCTCCCCTGAGGTCCGACGCTGCGGACAAGCATGCTGCGGCATCGCCAACCCTCGCGACCGGAGCCCCGGACCCTCTCTTTCTCTGCATCCCTCCTCGATCGGGGTTGGACAGACCTCTTACCCTGACACGTCGATTGAGGAATTGGCCGTTTTCGGTTCGCGAGGGGGCGTCGCGGCCGTCATTTTTGCGGGTCCAGGTCCGTCGGTTTCGGTCCCAGGCCGTTTTCACTAAGGGGAGGTCTACCAAAGGGAGGTTTGTCCACCGCCGATCCTTCTGCATCCCTCTTCGAGCCGGATCGATCTGTGAGGGCCCCGGGGCCCGAAGCGGGACGGAAACTTTTGGTTAGCAGCCGCAGGCGAGAGCGCCAGCGGCGAGCAAGGTCCGAGCGCGCCGCGCGGGGGCCTAATTATACCTAGCGCGGAGCAGAGCAGGACCTACCGCCGGGGGAAGCCTCGGCGCCGGGGCTGCAAGAGCTGCCGGGGGCGGGGGCTGCAGGCTGCCGGGGCTGCCTGGGAGCTGCAAGCGTGCGACAACCAGGGAGCAGGGCCACCAGTTGGCGGCGCGCACAGGGGGGTATGGGGAGGCGGGAAGGCTTCTTAGAAGCACCCCTGCTTCTTCGGCGCCGGGGCTGCAAGAGCTGCCGGGGGCGGGGGCTGCAGGCTGCCGGGGCTGCCTGGGAGCTGCAAGCGTGCGACAACCAGGGAGCAGGGCCACCAGTTGGCGGCGCGCACAGGGGGGTATGGGGAGGCGGGAAGGCTTCTTAGAAGCACCCCTGCTTCTTAGAAGGCGCGGGCCTTGTCTACAAATGTAAGGCCGGCGCCTTCTAAGAAGCAGCCTCCTTCTGAGAAGCCTTCCCCCCTCCCCCTGCCCCCCTCTGCGCGCCGCCAAACCAGGTGTGGATGGAGCTGCAGCGAATTAACCAACCACCGCGGGACGAGAGCGCCCGCTGTGAAGATCTTGCGGCTCCAGGATCTCAGGGATTCCCCCCCCAGGGCTCGTTTCGATTCCTCCGATTCGATTCGATTCGACTTCGATGGCTTCCAATTCCGATTCGATTCGGCTTGGGATTCCGATTTGGGTTCCGATTTTACATTGGAGGCATACTAGCCTGCCGATGTCCGCCGATTCGACTTTTTCCGACTCGGCTGCCGATTTCCGTCGATCCGATTCATGTCGATCGCCGATCCGACTTGTCGATTCGATTCCGGGCTCTCCTGCCCCCCCTCTCCCGTGGCGGCCCGGCCCCTCCAGGGGGCAGGCGGGCGGGCGGAGGAGCAGTCTGAGGCAGGGGAGCATCCGCCCGGGCTGTCTCCCGGGCGCGACCGCGGCCCGCCTGGCACCTGGTCTTCCGCCTGGCGGCTCCTGGTCCTCAGACCCTGACTTTCCAGGAGGGCCAAAAAATAACACCATAACTCTCGACACCTGAATTCCTGTCGGGTTTTCTGGGGCCGTCCAGATGGGTCTATAGGTCTGGAAGGCGCTTTTCTGGCATTCTGGAAGGTCAGGGGAGGGGCGGGGCCGCCGCGGGCCTTTCCGGGCTGTCCCGCGGGTGCTCGTCGCTCTCTCTCGGGCTCTCTCGGGCTTTCCCTCTGCTGTTTGGCGGCCCGTCCATCCCGACGCCGCTCACGCGCCGCCGCCCTTTCGGCTCCCAGCGAAATCGCCCTTGACCTTCGACCAACGCAGCTGTCTCCGACATCACTCGAGAGCGTACATTCATTCCGTCTTTGTGAAGCTAAAAGAGGGGACGGGCTCTCTCCCTGTCATCACGCCAGCGCATCCCCAGAGTGACACCCATGTGATTCTTCGACTCGCATTTTTGGCTTTTGGTTTTCGCGTAGAGAAGTATTGCCGACGTCCAGCGCCGCGCGCGTGCTCTTCCCCCACCGGCCGCGTGTGCCCTCCGCGTCTCCGGCGACGCTAGGGCACCGCAGCGGCGAGCCTCGAGGATGAGGGCTGACACAGTCGCATCCTTCTTCCTCCCTCCCCAGACCCCGGACATTTTTTCCCTCACCAAAACATGTTAAAAACACGTTTTCTGAATCTCTCTCTCTCTCTATATATATATATATATATATTTATACACAAGAAAACAAACGTCGACCTCCAGAGGTCTGGACCCCTTCCCCAGGAACGGTTTCTCCTCCCGAGTCGTTTTCCGACGGCGGTCCCAGGTCCCAGGGACCGGTAGGGCCCCCCCGGAGGCCGGAAACAGCGCATGAACCTCCCGTTGTGTGTGTGTGTGTGATCTCTTCACGGCGCGCGAGGGTGTCTGGGACCCTCCCTCCCTCGTCCCTCCCTCGACCCTCTTCGTCCCTGCCCTCCCCTCGTCCTCCCTGCTTGCTCTGGCCCGGGCCCGCTCTCGTGCCCCGCTCTCGTGCCGGCCCCCGCTCGTGTCAAATCGGGCGTGCCCCTCTACAGGAGGAATGTTCAGAAGTAGTCAACCAAATCGTCTGGGGACGATTTTGCGGCCACGTTTGACTGTTTCGGGGAATTTTTTGGACTATATTTGATGTTTTGTCCAAAACCCGCCTGCAGGGGCACTGTGCCCCTGCAGGCGGGCATGTGCCGCACATGCCCGACCTAACGCTCGTGCGGCAGTGCTCGTCGAGGTGGCCTCTGGCGCCCCGACGCCGTCGTTCGCGCTGCTCGGGAGAGCGGCTCGCCCCCCTCGCCGGAGGACTTTTTGCGCGCGACGGGGGGGGGATCTTTGCTGCCGCCGCCGCACAGGGGATGCGGGTGTTGCTAGGAGTGCCCCTGGCCCAAGGTGCCCCTAGGATTTCCAAGGCTGCCCCGACGGCCTCCAGAGCACCCCTCACGAGGCCCAGAGGGCCCCAGGGGCTCCAGGAGGGAGCGATTTGCTGGGGGCGCCCTGGGCCAGGGGCGCTTCTGGCAACACCCGAGGGATGGGCCCTGGCTCCGTCGTCGGCTCTCGTGCGCCGCGGCTCGGGCCCCATGGGGGCAGGCCCCGCCGCGGCGGCCCTGGAGGACGCTCTGGGCGGAGCGAGGCGGCAGGAGAGCATCCCGGGGCCCGAAGACAACCTCCGGGAGTCTTCGAGAACCTGCCGGGGTGCGCCATGGATTCCAGGGACCCCATCCCGTGATGGCGGTGGTGATGGGTGATACTGATGACGACGATGCTGATGATGCTGCTGACGACGGTGATGACGACGATGCTGATGATGCTGCCGATGATGGTGATGATGATCATGATGATGATGCTGATGGTGGAAATGATGATGCTGCTGATGATGATGATGATGTTGATGATGCTGTAGATGATGATGAGGATGATGATGATGATGATGATGATGATGATGATGATGTTGTTCAAGATGTTGATGATGCTGATGATGATGCTGATGCTGCTGCTGATGATGATGTTGTTGATGATGATGCTAATGATGCTGGTGATGATGATGATGATGATGATGATGATGATGATGGTGGTGGTGATGATGATGATGCTGATGATGCTGCTGTTGATGATGATGATGGCCATGAGGATAAGGGCGATGAGGATGAGGACGAGGGTGAGGATGACGAGAAGGAGGAGGGGAGAGGGTGAGGGATGAGGGACGAGAGAATGATGAATCACACAGCCCTCGCAGTTGATGATAAGAGTGAAGGGGGCGGTGGGGTCGTCGGCAGTCTGCGAGGCTCTGAAGAAGCCCGCCGCGTGCGCCGTTTTCTTACACATTGCACCGCGAGCCCACCGCGTGCTTCCGTGTTTCGTCGAAGCAATGTGGGTGGGTCGCGGGTGGGTCGTGGGCGGGTCGCGGATGTGGTCGCGTGTGGGCCGTGGGCGAGGGCGGTGTGGAAAACCACTTCAGGCACTTACACAGGGATTGTGTGAGACCGTTCGGCCCCCTCACTCTGATTGTGATGGCGATGGACAGGAGGAAAATCAGGGAATAGGGAACATGGAGCAGTGGTAAGATTGTTGATGATGGATACCACTGATTGGGGTAATAGTGGTTGTGCTGTTGTTGAGGAGGATGATCGACTGGCCACGTATATTATAGCGCTGGCGATGGTGGTGCGGATGTATTGGCATGACGACGTGGATGATGATGGTGTTGACGATGATGATCTCCCTCCCGCAACCGTGCCTGGATTGTGGGTCGCAGGCCTTTTCGGATGTTCGTTGGGATGTCGCGGGGGGCCCCTCGGGGGCCTCATAGGGGGCCGTTCGGAGGCCTCTTGGGGGCCGTGTTGGGGCCTCTTGGGGCATCTCGAGGGCTTCTTGGGGCTCTCTTCGGGCCTCTTGGGCAGAAGACTCGGGATCTCCGTCCTTGTTCCCTCTCCCTCTTTGGCCCTCCTTGGGTTCTCCGTGGGCCCTCTTGGGCGGTCCTGGGCGCCTCTGGGGCCGTCTTTTGGAGCCCTTGTGTGCCGTCTGCGGGCCCTCTTGGAGGCCGCCTGGGCCGCCCCGGGGCGGTCTTGGGTGCCTCCTGGGCCGTCGCGGAGCATCTGGGAGCCTGAACAGTCGAGAGCCCCAAACATATTGAAACATTCGCGGAGCAGAGCACTGAACTGATTTTGGCCTCTCGGAGCCCTCTTGGGGGCGGCTCCTGGAGGTCTCCTGGGCCGTTTTGGGCGCTTTTCCGGCCGACCAGAGACCACCTTTGGGCGTCCTGGGCCGGTCGTGCGGCGATTGGAGGCCTTCTCGGGCCGTCCTGGGGCCCTCTTGGGCCAGCTGCGCTGCCAGGGGGAGTCTGGCAATCCCTGGGAGTCCCCAGACATCCTTGTGAAGCTCGTGGTCCGGGCTTGTAGAACCCTGCATGTCTTTGTTTCTCAGGGCTGCATGGGCCTCGGAGCACTCCACTGCGTGCTGAAGGCACGGTGGCGGATTATTACGAGGATGGTGATGATGCTGCTGATACCGATGCTAGTAGACGATGATGGTGACGATGATGAGGACGGTGAGGATGATGATGATGCTGTTGCTGCTAATGATGATGATGATGCTGATGATGACGATGATGATGATGATGATGATGATGATGATGATGATGATGATGCTGAGCATGATGATGATGATGATGATGATGATGATGATGCTGATGATGATGATGATGATGATGATGATGATGCTGGGGCTGATGCTGACAATGATTCTGATTATGCTGCTGATGATGAGGATGCTACTGCTGATGCTGCTGCTGATGATGATGCTGGTGATGGAGATGGTGATGGAGATGGTGATGATGGTGATGATGGTGATGGTGAATGTGAGTGGTGGCGCTGACGAGAATGCTGCTGATGATTAGGTGCTGATGATGATGTTGATGAGGATGCTGCTGATGATGCTAATGCTGATGCTGCAGGTGATGACGATGATGATGGTGATCATGATGACGTTTATCATGCTGATGATGATGAGGTTGATGATGCGGCTGCGGATGAGGATGACGCCAACCATGCTGATTCTGGAGGTACGGAGGGTGCTACTGTCGATACTGCTGTTGCTGATGCTGATGGTGATGGCGATGGGATGGTGATGTAGGTGATGATGATGATGCTGCTGCTGATGATGATGACGATGACGATGCTGGTGATGGTGATGATGCTGCTGATGATGATGATGATGATGATGATGATGATGATGTCGTGGTGACTGAGTGGTGGCGCTGATGAGGAATCTGATATGTTGACTGGTGATAATGCTGACGATGCTGATGATGGTGATGATGATGACGGGGACGATGATGATGCTGATGGTTGTGATGATGGTGGCGATGACGACGACGAAGTCGACGATGACGATGGCGATGTCGATGATGATGCCGCTGCTGCTGCTGATGCTGATGCTGATGCTTATTATGATTCTGATGATGTTGATGATGCTGATGATGATGCTGATTCTGATGCTGATGATGATAAGGATGATGATGATGATGATGATGATGATGATGAAGGTGATGATGCTGATGCGGATGCTGATGCTGATGATGATGCTGATGATGCTGATGATGATGCTGCTGCTGATGATGAATATGATGATGCGGACGAGGATCAGGCAAGCGATGATGATGCCGATACTGATGAGGACGATGATGCTGCGGATGCTGATGATGCTGTTTATGATGATGCTGATTATGATGATGATGCTGATGCTGATGATGCGGATGATGTTGTTGTTGATGATGGTGATGATGCTGCTGATGATGATTCTGATGATGCTGCTGCTGTCGATGGGGGGAGCATGAGGAGGAGGATGAGCAAGATGAGGAGGAGGTGGAGGATGATGATGGTGGGGAGTGACCACGACGAGTAAGACGAGGAGGAGGAGGACGAGGACGAGGATGATGTGCCATAACAAACCCAGGATGCATCAACCATGCTGCGAGGCGCCATCTCGCCTGACGTCTTCTCGTTCGTCCCCATGGGCCTCCCTGCTCCACCGCGGGAGGCGCCCCAGCACCCCCCCCCAGTGCAACGCGAACGCCCCGCGGGCCCGCCATTCAGGCGATGCCCTTGTTTCTAAAAAGTACTCTGGGGGCCCATGCAAAGACACACGCGCACACTGCTTGTTCCAAGGTGGTCCTTGGGTTTCGATGGTTTCGCTGTGGAACGCGTGACGTTCCCACACCAAAAATCAATGGACGTCCTGGGGTCTCAGGGTTGAGTTTCTCGTGTAAGGTTTCTTGTGGACTTGCCTCCACCGTACGCCCTCCATCCTTCTAGCACTAAGGGGTGAGACAGTGTCCACGGACGCGGAGGCGCCAAGGCGAGACCCCCTATCTTGCACAGGAGCCGCCCTCCACACGCTGTTTTTTTCGCTGGGCGGGCGCGCGCGGCGCCGAGGCAACTGCCTCCGTTTGGAACGGTGCCGCCCTCCATCCGGGCGGCTGCTTGGCTTGGTTGGGGCCGGCGCGGGCGCCGAGAGGGCGTGGGGGACCCTGAGCCAGCGCCGCCCTCCAGCCAGTGCGGCCATGATAGGTAATCGGAGGTGGACAGAACCCCCAACAGTGACACGTCGATTAGTGAATTGTCCGTTTTCGGTTCTCGAGAGGGCGCCGTGGCCGTTATTTTCCAGGCTTGCGCCCGCCAGGTTTGGGCCTCAGGTCGTTTTCACTAAACCACGTTTTACTAAAGGGAGGTCTGTCCAACCCCCAGGTAAGGGTGGGCAACCTTCCCAAGGGTACCCCTTGCATCCTCGCCTCCTCGGTCCATCCTTCGCCGCTTTCGCTGGCCGCGCCCCGCTCGAGAAGCTTCGAAATGGGCGTCCAAGGCCCTTGCATCCTTATCGCGCATCCTTACTATACTGGTGGACTGTATCACGGGTGTGCGCGGCGCCAAGGCCAGAGAATCCCCATTCTGACACGGACGTACCATCCATTCGTGTAGCCGTCGCGAGTTTCAAGCTTCGATGGCCGACGCTGGGAGGCGGTCCTCTTCGAAATGCCCGCCCCGCTCCACCGACTCATCTGGCGCTGCGACACGGGCGTTTTTGGAAC